ATCCTTAAAGTTATAGTTAACCAAGCTTTATTTAAAGATTACTGTAACATATCCATAGGCCCTGTACACATTCACATGTATGTTCTTCTTTCCCAGGGGTTTTATGAAAATTGAATGAGAAGTGTTTTTCTCAGTTTCTGAAAGCGCTTTGCTGTAAAATTCAGAAGGAAGTCAACACACAGTTTTGCCAGTTCGTGAAAGCTTTTCTATTTCACTCATTTATTCTAGCTCTCATGTCAATTCCATTGTTCCATAACAGTTAAGGTTTTACAGCCTTAAAATAATAAACGTATTTTCTTTTCACATTTTACAAGTCTATTCCGCGTTGTTTTCACTTTTGAGAAGCAACAATACATGACTTTGAACACCTACTATCACATCAGTGACCAGAAACGCCTATGCAATTTTTTTTCTAAACAGTGAAGTTTAGCTGAACAGTTGAGTCAGGATCTCCTCCTGCAGTTTCATTTTAGCTTTTTCTAGAAAGATAGATTCTCTGAAAATATAAAAAGAGACTGCAAATGATCAGATAGCAACTCAGACAAGCTAGACAAACAGAGATGCGTTATTGAACAATGTTTAAAGCATCAATCACAATATTTCTCCGTTCCATGCATTCCACATCCTGTTGTTGATCTAGAGGACATGATGAAATATGCTTCACTACTGCTTCGATTATTCTGTAACTTTATCCTTCTGTCTTCTCTTCTACACAAGAAATGGTTTACAAATATATTAAAATTGACATAAACAGCCCTATTGTGACCCAATTTTGTATTGGTTCCCTCAACTCCTACGTTTCTCCCCAAATATCACTATGGTCATAATCTCATTTTATGAACAAAGCAACTGTCGCTGCTCCATAGAACAGCACTTCGGTCTTCATGCTGGACCAGAATACACTGAGGTTGTGTGACAGTTTTTGTTACTAGTTTTAAAAGTAAATCATAGCTCTAACTACAAGTAGAAGTAGGCAATAAAGCAGTTTTCTTCGGAAAACTGGTTTTCAAAAAAACTGATTAATGCATGTGAACTTGAACAATTGCAAAGAAAATGTCACATCCAACGGAGCATTTTCCTACCGGAGAAAAGTCGTCATTTGAAACAAGACCTACAGGGCAGCAAACAATCATTAAGACGCTTTATTGACAATATCCACTCACCGCAAAAGTATCTGCCTGCATACAGCTAGATCTTAGCTTTTCAATAGTGTTTTATTGGCAGTGGAAAATGCATCAGTACTTTATTGAAAGAAAGCAATAAATAATACTGTGATAAAAATAGTTCAAAAGTAGACTGTACATATTGTTACATAATCTGAAAATACACAAAAGATTAATAGAAAAAACCAGAACAGTAACAATGAATTTCAGTTTTACAAGCAAGTTAAAAGTGGAAAACAAAATAAGAAAAAAGACATGCTATATATATTGTTGCATAATAAATAATGCACCATCTGAACAGATTCTTGCTGGCTTTTAAATATGCCATTTACAAGTGTTGCATACATTTTCTACTCATACAGTCCAAAATGGCTACAACCATCAAAATTAAAGTCCAGACAACTCTTAGAACAAGTTTACAAAACACAAAAGATGACTTACGTAAGAAAAGTAAGGCCTTTATTAGAAGTTGCACTGCTTTAGTTGTCAGCCCATTGTACCTTCATCTGTCACTACTCATTTGACATGAGACTGCAGTGCTTCATGATTGGTCCATTAAAACTAGTTTCACCAGCATCTTTCCACAAGTGTTTTCAATCAAAAGGTCTAAGGACAAAAACTCTCTGTGGCCTGTGGATTACGACCAGGAATTATTAAGAAGTCTATCTTCCTCAGTTAAGGAAAAGAAAAAATAAAAACAGTTCTTGGTTTATGGCTTGTTTTCAGTCACTGAAGATACGCTATACAAATACAGCAGAGAGTGTTATGACCGAGTCAATCACTTCTAAAACGTGTTCCGTGGTGTTATAGTTCCTCCCAGTTTTTAAAACAAGTTGTATTTTAAATAAAGACAAATTCCCCCTACTTGACAAATCCTTTGTGGAAAGGTACAGTTCTGAGAAGAACAACAATGATGTACCATACCTTCTACAACAACATGTGCTCACCTGAAAAAAAGCTGGGCTTGTTTTCAGATCTAAGCTAACATTTCCAAAAGACAAAATATATACTGCTTGGTGTCGTGATACTTTTACAAAGGTATTAAAATCCTTTTCACCTTCAGTTTCATTATTAAAAAACAATGATAATTACAGTAACCGCATAATTTACAAAAACCCTATATTACTTATAGGGACATATACATACAAGCATTACAGTACATTCAGTTGGAAAGACTAAAATTAGAATTAAAAAAATCAGCAATGATTTGATTTGTAGACTGAATAGAAACAGAAAAAGTAAGTAACTATATAAATGAGAAGTCACATAAATATAAGAAACATTTAGATTCTAAAATATTTTCTCTATAGTACTCATGAATTTATTTGCTAATTAAAAACTCTGTAATAAAATATCTCAAAGTGTCCATTTAACAAGTATTAACAGGTTAAGGGTTCCAAATGTTCAAAATGCTGCATATCACCGGTAGAAATAGTGTGGGTAAACTGTAGAAACAACAATAAAACAAACAAAAAACACACAAAAAGAAAACAAAACAAAAAAATGCCGTTAGCAGGTTTTTTAAAAACAGTTCATTCCAACTTTCTCACAAAGAGCTCAGTAGTGTAGCAGTCATGCACTGAATTATTGCCATGCCATCACGTAGACAATTTTATGGCCTTCTGTAATCTTCAGTTGCAATGCAAAGTAAAGCACGAGGTCAAATATTTCTGCTTCCTAGATTTTTATCCTAGGTCATACGACTATAGAAGATCCTGAAACAGTGGGGAGAATGTGGGGGAGGGAAAGACCGAAAACCTCAGTGTCTTGAAACTAAAAAAATTTTATGATAGCCCCAGAGATTATGAACTGACAGAACCACACGATCTGAGTTGCTATGTGCAAGTTCCCCTTGTCAACATTAAATACAGAAGAACTCTTAGAACTCAGCCAATACACAACTTGGTAGGGATGTCACTGGTGAGAAGAAAGGGAAGAAGCTGTAAGTAGAAGAGACAGGCAATTTATAGCCCATGGAAGATACCAGCTAGTGAGAGAAAGATTCACTGGATTTACTTTTTTTTTTCTAAATCCAACATAGTAAAAAAATTAGTTTCCAGACTTGTTTGCAAAACGAGTGAAATACTGTTCCATGAGAAAATGTAGCAGAGGCTCCTAAAGACAAATCTTTCCAAATCCTGCAGCAAGACAGGACTAAGATCTTTCAGAAGGCATGTATTTTGTGTTAAACACCCTCGTGTTAACAAGCTGCCTTTTATCGTCAGCACGGCTCACAGCTACCCAAATTTAAGCTGCAGGTAGCTAAACCCAACCAGGCAGTCTAAGCAATCACAGTGGCATGAAGTATCCAAGAACTGCAGAACTATGCGATTAACCCTATAACAACTCAATACTGAAGTACAGTGCAGTGGGATAACTTTGACCAAAGACTCTAAAAGATCAATAATCTGAACTGCAGTGACACACTCTAAATTATTTGCTTTCCTTTACATACCAGCTTTAGTTCCCTTCCTTCCTCCCCACTTTCACTGGCTGTCCTTTTTGAGGCCATTTTAAAAAAAACCCTCAAAAGAATAAAATCCTTACAAAAGTAAATACTTAAACACTCAGAGTCTTCATCACAGGAAATAATCTCTGGATTTTCAATACAACAATCTACCCCGAAAACTTGAAGCGGTTTTGTAATTGTGAATTTACACTGTATTAAAATACCTGACATTATATTTCATAAACAGCTGCTTTACTGTTACACCTATCAACTTTACTCACCAGGAGAAGGCTTTAACAGGAGTAGGTCCTTACTGTAGCAGAATCCAATCTTTGTGTTCCTGATACATTGCCTATTTCAAGAAGCATGGGAAGACATGCAGAACACAGCATGCATGTTAGTTTTCAAAAAAAAAAACCCCAAACCATCACAGCAATGTGATTACAGCTATGGTACTCATCCAACTGCAAGGCTGCAAGTTAGAAAAGCAGAATTTATTTTAGAGTTTATATATTATCCACTTCTAAATTCAGTGGCTAACAAAAAGAATTCTAAAACAATCTGCATGCCAACTAGCACACAGAAATTGGCAAGTCATTTTCTAAGTAATTTATTTTCTATTTTATACAGTTTGCTTATTTTTCTGGTTTTTAATATTGTAAAAAGAAAGGGATTTCACACAGTAAAGACTTCACTTATTTCAATTTATAGAATTTTCCACATGAATTCTGGGAAAATATTCTGTGCTAGTGACAATACTTAAAATTTAAAACAGCTCACATTTTAGAGAGTAACATCAGATGCAAAGGTTGCTGCTTTGAGCTTTACTCATAAACACAGTTTTCAGAACCTGAGACAACTGACAGATTATGCTGAAGTTCTCATCCCATCTGTTCCAATTAAATATATTTTACATTCATTTTTACTCCTGTTCTTAAAAAAAATTCAAGTAAAAGTTTATTCTCATGGTACTAAAAAGACTGTTTTTAAACAGACAAGATACCTCATGTGACAGGTGATCAACTTCTACTTCCAGCTCGAGTCTTTTGGGTTTGTTTGGGGTTTTTTTAATATATAACTGTGTGTGCTCACCCATACACACATATACATATACACCACTAAGTACACAGCAATGAACAAAGTAGTGATTTCAAGTATGATCAACATTTCAATGGCCACTGCAAGGCGGGTAATGCACCTTTTACTCAAGTTTTAATAATCTAAAAATAACCTGAGGGAGTTTACTCACATCATTTTTGAATGCATTTTACTGCATTTCAGAAATGGGACTTACAGTGGTCTAATTGCTGCTAACTACAAATTATGCATAAAGTGATTAAAAGACTTCTACTAAAGTGTCATTTTATTTTCCTAGTTTAAAAGAAATATATTTCTGACACTACTTCTCATTTTGTTATTCCAAGGAAGTAAAAAGAAACTCCACAACTAGCATAGCTTCCTGAAATTATAAAGCACCCTATGGTTAAACACAGTGTTATAGGTACAACCATGCACAAGGCAGATGCTTTTATGCAGCAGGAAGGTAATTTGAACTTAATTCACTTATAATCTCAAGCAAAAAAAGCACATCATGCTTAAAATAATAGAAAATCAATACCATCAATCTGCATCTTCTTTGGCTGCATAGAGGGTGAAGACATTGAGGTTGTAACTCTGAAATTTGCAGGAAGAGTCTCTGCTGATCCAGCAGCTAAACCTCTTATGTCCTTTGGTCTAAACTTCTTTCTCCATGAAGGTGCTCTCCTAAAGCTCTTATCATCATCCTGTTACATTGATAAACATCATTAGTGATTCAAAAAGACGTAGGATTGTTACTGACATTACAAGGATTACTGACGTTCTTAAGTAAACGTATCACCACTGAATGAGTTAATTTTCAGGACAGCTCAGGTGCAACAGCAGCAGAGGTCTTCATTTCAACAACCCGTGTTCATTTGCTAGGCTGTACTAACTATGGAAATTCATTTGCTTGGCACATTTAGGGAAACGTTTTGTACTTCGGATGTTTGTATTGCATGATTTGCATTAATTCATAAGTGTCACATCACTCATTCTTAGGGGACATGAGGAGTGGAGATCACAAAAGCTGCTTTGGGAACACTGACATATAGAGGCTTAATTTGAACAATTGCTTTTAACCTTCAGTTCTGTCTTACAGGAATGATGATAAAAGCCATTGTGCTTTCTCAGGCTACAGATTACAGGAAGTGATAGTGAGGGGGGGGGGAAAAGTGTGGTAAATACCATATTGCCACGCAGTGTTCTGCTTAAGCACTTGCATAAATTTAACTTGTAATTACTCAAGGGCATTCTCCCTCCATTAATATATCAGCATCTTTGAAGAAATATTCCATTTCAGAAATACAGTATTGCCCTTACTAAAGATAACAGTTTAAGTCCCATTTCCAAAAACGTCATTTGCAGTGAAGATATTGTGTCAATGCAAATATTTGGCATCTCCATTTGTCAGCTTCACCTTTCGAAACAGTTCTGTCCTTTGAATGCCGTTTTACCCAAAATTTATCTCCTTTTAGAACTGGGGGACAAGTATCTACGTTATTTGAAGAGATCTTTGTGATCAAACTGCTCCGTGCCGCTAGAACAGAGCAAACACCTGTTCCCTCAAAGCTCCTTCTCCTGCAGTTTGAAGTCACTAAGGGAAACCACCTTTGAAAACTACCAAGCTGCTTTCTGACGGCGTTATTAAAACCTTCGCAGAGACACACACTGAGAACTGAGCTGTCAGGATGTGCCACAGAAGGGCTGCAACAAGTCCGTTAGGCAAAAGATGAACACAAACCCAGACAAGGTCTGTCATAGCAGCCTCTTCCCTCAACACACTGGTGTATGCTTCACCTCACTGATCCAAAAGCAGTTTAAGTCAAAACTTCCACGTTTCCCCTGTCGTCCTCCTCCTACTAGCACAAAAGTTTCTGAGATAACCAGGTCAGGGAACCAGCCCACACTATCGACGTTAGAGTTCTGCCACCATACTCCTAACCTGAACCACTTCCATCTATACACGCTACTGCAAACTCCCATGAGCACCAAAGAAGAGGTAGCACAGAGTGAAGAGTCTCTTGGGGAAGTAACATCAGCTCAAAACTATTCACTGAGTTATAGCATAGAGCAACTTAAAAGGGTAAAGATTGTCTGTCTCTTTTAGGCTGTCTCCTTTAGGCTATGGGTTCACAGGGTCTACAAAAAAGCCTCACCCCTAGTTTGGTAGAGTTTTATACTCATTACATTTGAATAAAGTTTATACTGTAAGATCACAGACTGCCCAACAGAAACTACTTTGATGTGCAAACATACCTGGTGGTCATCCATACCAGTATTAACGGATATTAAGCTTTCTCGAAATACCCTCAAAACTATTTGAAATACTGCTCATTAAGACAAAGGTTTGAAATGTGCTATACAGTTCCTTTCTCTATTATAGCTAGTTTTCCCACATTTTATACAGAAGATTCAGCCCAAAGTGCTGCTATTAGACAGTAAACACACAAGCTACAAAAACCAAACTTGCAAGTCATCTCAATACTTTGATATTCACAGTTATCTTACCTAAATACACAAAAACTGCCATAGTCAGAAACTCTCAAAGACAAAGAATTCCAAGTTAAGATTTCTGTCACTATTCTGTCCATAGCTTAGAGGTTCAAGCTAAATTCTTCCACTTAACAGTTCTAATAAAGTTCCCAGGACCATTAAATGGGTCAACAGCTCAAGTAACTTACTTCATCAAGTCTTCTGTCAGTGCCCATAGCAAGAAGGTTATTAAATTCCCTCTCCAGAACAGCACGAGCCTAAAGTTTGTAGTATAAAAGAAATGGAAATTAACGCCAAAAGGTTAGTAATTAGTAACCTACAGTAATTCTTCAAACTTAATATACCCCAATTGTTTAATACCTTATCAGCTTAATAAAGACAAATTGTAACTTTTCAAGTACTAAGTAAGTTGTAACTTATTAAAAATTTAAGGAAGACCGAACAGCTCCCTCTTCCCTTCATTGTGAAATGGAAGTTCATATCTGGCTCAAAATTATTTCAGAATAAAAACTAACAAACAACAAAAATGATGTTTTACACTAATGCTGTGAAGATGGGCTACAAGGAAAATACTCAGTATTTGTCTGTCAAACAAATTTATCAACGAGAATTGTTGTTAACAATTTGAAAACACTAAGAAAAGCATAGTTTGTGTTTTTCTTTTATAGGAAATTGACAACTTTCCATTTCTAAAGATTCTAGAGCTGGGAATAGAAACACATGCACTTGACCTACAAAAAATAAAACCCCAGTTGGTTCCATTTTTAACCTTCCTAGAAGGAAGAAAAATCCTCTTGGCCATAAAGGAACTACTTCCTGCTTACCTGTGTGTTTTGAGTGGGTATTTGTAATAAGAGAGCTAATGCATTGTAATCAAATGATTCATCTAAGGCCACAAGTGCACCATGAACTCCGCTCTCGATAAGGTTATTTGCGTATTCTTTAAGACCAATGGACACTACCCAATGGATCATTCTTTCATTGCTCCAGACAAGGACATCTATGGAGGGAAAAAAAAAAGTTGCACAATTTATACAACACAATTTTTCTGAACAAAAAAATATTATTTAACATTTAGGTTGCAATCTAGCATGAAACGCTCTGAATTGGCAACAGAACTTCACGCTTAGATTCCACTGCTCAGTGTTAAGATCCT